TGTAGCTTTGGTGTGTCACCACCTTCCAAGTGTTAAACCGGTGAATCAGCCCTTCCTTATGTGGCGCTGAACCTCAAACAATTTGCAAGATGAATGAGGTTACAAAGTTAAACGTTGGCATTGTGTCTGAGTGAATAATAACTTTTTTTTTTTTACCTGTCCTCTTTTTTCCTCTCTAAACATTGCTAGGCAAGTAAAACTACACTTAGCAGAGAATATATTTGTTGGTGGAAAGCAGTGTATGCTCCATTAGGCCTACTGGATTGTTGTCAAGGTCCATAATACATTTTTGCCTCCACTTTGCCTTGCCTGTGGGTCATTTAAAAGACTGCTGAAGCGTTGTCTTTTATCATACTTCTAGACATAGCAGTATTTGGAAGGGAAATAACTTTTGCAGATTGTAAAGTGTCTGCCTCTAATGTACAACCAAGTTTAGTGCCAGTGATCATGTCCTAAACAGCTCTGCTTCTCCATTTATGAGGAGCCTAAAGTTTTCATGTGTCTGTGGATCACTGTAATGTGCCTGTATCATTTTAACAGAGTGGGATATTGATGATACCTTGTTGTTGTTAGAATTTAACCCATACTGGTTATACAAATGCAACCCCTCTTTGCTAGTTTGTCTGTTTGAGTGATTTCCAATACCTGCCCATGGAATGAAGCTATCTTGTTCTCTGCAAGTCCATTATCACTGTAACCGTTGATGGAGATGAATAGAGACACTTCGTTCTGTGCTATATGCAGAAGGAGCATTTTCTCTGAGGTGACAAGGGTAGCAGTAGCTCCAAAAAAAATTGGTAGAGAAAATAATTGACAGGACAAAGACAAAACAAATAGAGATTTGAGAAAAGTTAGTGTGTAAAGAAACGTTCTGCATGTTCTGCAAAAGACTGCTTGTTCTGTCCATTGATAAACTTCCTTTTTGGCAATTAAGATCCCTTTTGTCTTTATTATTATTTTAGTATAGGCAATTTATGTTTTAGGCAAAAAGGAAACTCATGATCTTTCTGAAGTGTCCAGAATCCTGACATTCACTGTTTTAAAGGGGTGGTTGATTGCGATTTCACTTTTTTAATGTTAGTTAGTGTGTAATTTTGCTGTTTGATCATAAACAATATCTGCAATGTTACGAAGCTGAAAGTTCAATGCAAACGGAGATATCATCTTTTAAAATTCTGGCAGTTTAATGCCTACAAAAACGACTGGTAAGGGACTACAACGAGTTACTTCCCGGGTCCGTTACGTCAAGAACCCAGAATTTTACATAAACCCCGCCTCCGGGAACACGCAGCAAAGGGGGCGAGGCCATGCTGAGCTGCTTTAGAGAAGAGGAAGAGAAAACTATAGGTGCACGTAAAAATCTATTCATATATGAATCGCGATTCTGTCTTCTAACGATTCTAATGGATTCACAAGTTTCAAAATCAATGTTCTAAAGCAGCGTTCTCATCCTGTTCCTGACCTCGCCCTGCTCTGCACACGCTCTGCATCTCTCTCTCTCTCTCTCTCTCTCATTCAGATCATCAGCTCAGTGAATACACTTATTTTCACAAACTATAGCTATGAGAAGCGTTATACATGGACGCGCGTGTGGCTGCCAAACTGTATTAAAGCTTTAATCAGAATAAAACCGTATATTAAAAGCTAACAGAAGCAGTAGCATTTACAAATAACAGCATATCTAAAAGAATGAGACAACAACAAACAAAAATCTCAGGCCTACCATTAAAAGCCGTGCTTGCACAGGTTCTGCGCGATCCTCTTCAATAATATCCTCTGCGTCTCAATCGGCCTCAAACTGATAAGCAATATAGACAACGACATTGTTTACAATACAACCGGAGGACATACCGCTATGTTGAGGGGCGGGACGTTTAGACGCACGCTAGAGGCAGTTTAGCCAATCACAACACACTGGGCCAGCTAATCAATCAGAGCCCATCGTGTATTTCTGAGGGAGGGGCTTCATAAAAGCAAGAAGTGATCAGTGCGTTCAGAGGAGAAGGGACAGAGAGGTGTGGAATAAAGGTAAATTATGTGAAAAATAATGCATTTTTTAACAAACGAAGCATTAACACATGTTAGACTGCACCCCATAAACACAATCAAGCCAATATAAAAACCAGTCAATCACCCTTTTAAAGAAGGGTATTTCAAACTTTTTCATTCTAGAAACCACCTAGAGAGGTAGAATCAATCTTGAGATCCACCAAAAACATTTATATTGTGAAATATGAGGGAGAAAACACACTTTGTTCTCATATTGTTACATTGGGTAGGCCATTCTGATGGATTCGGTTACCTTCGAGTTCATTCAGTAAAGGATTCATCAGATTGATTTAAAGTAGTGACTCTTGAGTTTTGCTTAATGATTAATTAAAAGAACTAACTTATAATAGTTCTTTGTTTGTGAGTTGATCTACACAGGCCATTCTGTATGTTTGTTTTAGCTTGTAATATTGCCAGTAGGGATGCCACGGTGAGGAAATGTTCCCACTGAGTAATAAACAGTGTTACAAATTACAGTGCACATTTTACAAGATATTTCTCAATAACACTTAGGATCTGTAGTGGTTACTTTGATTTAATGTTAGATCTTTACATCTTTACCTTTCTTTAAATGAAACGAATGCTTTAAAATTGCGAAACACAAAACAACAACAACAAAAAGCCCATGATAATAAAAAAAACATGAAAGACAGAAATAAAACACTACAATGACTCGCATATGTTAAACGTAGAACTTATAGGCACTTTTGCTCTTCACTTCGACGCAGAAACTTCCCTCATTGTCTTGTCAGTCATCTTTTCTTACTCTATTCACATGAAAAGTGAAATTTAGCTTTTGCTCCATGCTTTATGGAGCAGACACTTTCAGCTTATAATTGTAATGTCCGTTGTTCAACTGAAATAAATAGATTTTATTGATGTTAATGTGCTGCATTGTTTGAGAAATGATGGGTTCCAGGTTCTACCCACAAATGAACCGAACTTTTTTTTCACACTAGTTTTCTGTGCAGTACACTTATCCACTCTGTGACCCCCTACCCACCCCCCCACCCCCCGTGTAAAAGCTGATATTTTAGTGGATTATTCTTAATTGTAACTAGACATATTAAACTTCTGTTTTAGAATTACATTTAGTGTCAATAAAAAAAAAACATCCAAAGAAAGACCATCAAAGCAACAGCACTGCCAATATAATGTATAATTGAATTGAAGGGACAACCATTTTTAATTTTAATGGAAGTGTTCTTAGATTTTATACCAAGAGAGATAAGAATAACCTGAACTGTGTCGATATGTTAAAATAGCAATAAAAATGTGCTATTTTGCTAAAATGCATTTTTACATTTAAAATTTGAGAATTACTGCCTCCTGAAAGGTGAGAGCACATCTTTGATGCCTGTTGTTCCTGTTTCTTTCTAGTCATTCTTATAGTCGACATAATGCAGGTGTCAAGTAAATCACTATTCAATGTTTAATTAACAGGGCTTTTGCGACCTTGTGATAACATGCAACATGCATCCTATTCTGATTGTCAAGAGCAGGGGTTTTCAACCTTTTAGGACATGCGCCCCCCAACATCCAATTAACTGAATTAACTGATGCTCGCATTGTTTGATGTAACAGTAAAAATTGAATTCAGTGTTTTTTGCCGCTTTGAGTTCATTGTCACCTCTGACCGTTGCCTGTGATGCAGGGAGTGAGATCAGTAACATGTTGTCATGGAAACAATGCTACAGGACAAGCTCACATCACATTAGAAGCTCAATCAGTAAATTTGAACATCTGCACTTACATATGCACACAATGAAATGCATGGTGTAAACTGTAGCAGTGTGCAGTGAATTGTCTGTATGTTTCTGTATTCAGTAGAACAGCTGTACATCAGAAGTGCTACATCATTTTGTTTCCCCATCATTTATAGTTTCTACATAGCAAATATGCTGTCGTTTAATAAAAAAATATATTACAACTTTTATGTGAAATAAGAATAAAAACTGTGCTTAAATTGTAAATATAATAACAGCATGGCTTCCTCTGCACGCTTGCTTTGAAAGAAATACTTATTGGTCAAACTTAAAACAAAGTAGCATGTTATTTCATATCATTTAGAAGCGTATGATGTATCTTAGTTTAATGTTATTATTAATATGTTTGTATTCCGAGATACACAAAAGATGCAGTGTGGCCATTCAATATGAAATTGAAATCACATAATGTGCATTTTCATTCATAAAGCTCAGGCTTTAGTCATATTGGCTTTACACACATGTAGATACTGTATGTTCATTTAAAATACTGCTTTATCCTTGTAGTCGATGGGTGATCAGTCTAACAAACAAACAAACGACTGCAGAAATAAATATAATGTAATATTTAATCAATTATTTTATTTTGTTTGATATTTTGGTCATTATTCATTTTGAAGTAATTGGTTTTGACTTTCTGAATAGGGTGTTCGATTTTAGCCACATCTCTATTGTAAATATGTCATTAATTGCTCAATGAAAAGTGCTGTATTCTTTGCCTATGCAGCTATGCTTCACACTAGCCAAACAAACCAAATTCTGACATAATTCAGATTTGGGTGTGCACCAAAAACGTCCTTAGTTTTATACTTTAAAAGAGTTTGCCATTGAAGAGCTTCCATTGAAGATTAATGCTGTGGCAGTGAAATTATTGTAATATGCTGATTTGCTGCTTAACAAACGTTAATGCATTTGACAATATATTTGTAAATACTTTTCTCAAAGTGAAATATATTTTAACTTTTTTTAAACAATTAAGAATCACGTGTATTCAAGGGTGTAAGGATTGTTTTTTAACAAACCCATTTCCAGAAACATTTTATAAAATGCAAAAAAATAAAAATAAAATAATAAAATAACAAGATTTTGTGATTTGCCCTCAAAATCAAACTTTGTTTATATTTGCAAAATCCAATTACATTGGTCAATGAAAATATTGGAAATCTTTCTTTATAGATTTGTCAGTTAAAGCTGCAGTCCCTAACTTTTGGCGCTCTAGCGGTTAGTAAACAGAATTGCGTGCATCTTGCGGAAGAACGCTGTAGCCGGTAGGGGTGTGCGATATATATCGTCTGCGATAATATCGTAATTGTTGTTTTAACGATGTGCGATTTGACATTATAGAATATTTAGCAAAAACACCCTTACAGAGCGCACGCATACGTCACGTGAAACACATTTAGAGTTCTTTCTTTCACTGCATGATTTAGTCTACTAAAATGCATTTAGAATGATCACAAATTCAAGACATGGATGCAGAAAATCTATATATATTTAAGGGAAGCTAAATGCCCGATACTGGTCTCCTGTACTCGTACACGTACTCCTTAAAATGCCCCAAACGCCGATACCTCACAGCATGTGATAAGCGACATATTCAAACAAAGAAACACCGACAACAGAACAACAGACAGCAGAAAGGAGTTAAGGATGTCTACTACGAAGTATATGTATGCAATGAATATAATGTTAAACATTCAGTGTTAACGTCTGTATAGCTGATGTGCGCGAGCTGATAAACAAAGCAGGTTGAGTGGATTGAGCGCGCGGCGGTGCAGATGTGCGAGCTTGTTGAGTGAATATATCTTTCTCACAGACATCACTGGAAAGTTTGTAGTTTGGTCGGATATGTCAAAAACAAGTAAGTAAAACAATGCACAAGTTGCGCGCAATTCTGTTGTGCGATCTTTGATGTTCACTCACTTAGCACGCATCATTTGGATTAAAACTAAATCGTAAAAATAAGACCATTTATAGGGGCATTCACTATAAACATCATTTATTTTCAAACTTAGGCATACATGACTTTCTGGTGAAAGTGAAACTAACAGCCTGTGTGAAATGCGCTAGCGGAAACAGTGTGAAATGCTACAATTTTTACCACAAATGTCTGATGTGGTCCTGAATGCCTCTTTAGTGTCATATAAATGCCAAAATGATGAGACAGGACCATGGGGTGTTTTTCACAGTGGGTGGCCTTCCTAACAAAACACATTTAACTTTGGGCGACTTTTTGTTTATGCTCTCCTAAGGCAAGGGCAAAAACACACAGAACTAGACAAATTAGGAATTTATGACTCTGTCATGAGGGTAAATGACATGACGTGACATGAATTTTGTTTGTTTTACCTGTTTATCTATTCATTTATTCAAAAAATAATTTTAAAGCAATAACGCATCTTCTGAGTTTTAAATTTTTGCATTTATTTGCTCAAAAATACAGTAGACAATAGTGTTGTGAAACATTATTGCAATTTAAAGTAACAGTTTTCTATTTGAATATATTTTAAAATGTAATTTATTCCTGTGATGCAAAGCTGAATTTTCAGCAGCCATTACTCCAGTCTTCAGTGTTACATGATCTTTCCGAAATTGTTGTAATATGCTGATTTGCTGCTTAACAAACGTTAATGTATTTGACAATATATTTGTAAATACTTTTCTCAAAGTGAAATATATTTTAACTTTTTTTAAACAATTAAGAATCACGTGTCATTCAAGGGTGTAAGGATTGTTTTTTAACAAACCCATTTCCAGAAACATTTTATAAAATGCAAAAAAAAAAAAAATAATAAAATAACAAGATTTTGTGATTTGCCCTCAAAATCAAACTTTGTTTATATTTGCAAAATCCAATTACATTGGTCAATGAAAATATTGGAAATCTTTCTTTATAGATTTGTCAGTTAAAGCTGCAGTCCCTAAATTTTGGCGCTCTAGCGGTTAGTAAACAGAATTTTTAAACAGCGGAAGAACGCTGTAGCCGGTAGGGGTGTGCGATATATATCGTCTGCGATAATATCGTAATTGTTGTTTTAACGATGTGCGATTTGACATTATAGAATATTTAGCAAAAACACCCTTACAGAGCGCACGCATACGTCACGTGAAACACATTTAGAGTTCTTTTGAAAGCATGCCCAGGAGACTACAGGCTGTCATTAAGGCTAAGGGCTGCCCGGCAAAGTATTCATAGTTGTGTAAATAATATTGTCATACTAACAGTTGTTTGAATTATTTTTGGTTGATTGTAATCTATTACATACCTTTCTATCACTGTTCTTTGTTTCTGTTGTTGAACGCCACGCACAAATGACATCGCTGTCGACCGGCTTACGTCACTTCCTAGCACACACTGTCAGTGCGAATGCAACCCTTTAAATGGTACTGGGAAATAGTTTGCGCAAAATCGTCCCAGTACTTTAGTACCGTACATTTAGTCCTGGAACTAAAGCGGTGCGAAAGGGCCTAATGTGAGAAATGCTGAAGGTGTCTGAATACATTTTGGTTTGACTATCTATTTGATAAATGAAGTTAACCAACTAAAATTATATCTACCCTTTTGGTTTCTGTACCCAATATTTAAAAAATTTACAAATGCAATAAAAATATCGGTATCGGTAGTCGGTATCGGCAAGTACCAAAAATAAAAGTATCGGTATCGGGCGAGTACTGGAAAAAGTGGTATCGGTGCATCCCTAATATTTTTACCACTTCATGTAGTTAATTAATTCCACACGAAGAGTGCCGTTTTTCTCCAAAAATTACCATGATTACAAATGTGATATTGATTTGTTTTACAACAGTTCAATAAACTAGAAGTTAATTAAGAGACTTACGTTTTAGATTCCATATTTCCTGTTTTTGCGCTATTTCTACAACAAAAATAATTCCAAACACAGCCACAGCGCTGTTTTGCGTCTCTGTGCAACATGACGGTGTTTCGTTCCTGAATGAATCAACCGTTTAAATGATTCGGTTCAGTCGCAATGACTCACTTATTAACAGTGACTTGCTGCCACCTGCTGGCGGTTTTAATTTCACATTTAAAGTATCTTTTATTATTTAAAGCTGCAGTCCGTAACTTTTGGCGCTCTAGCGGTTAATAAATAGAACTGCATGCGTCTTGCGGAAGAACATTGTAGCCGGAGCTACTTCTCTCTGTTTATGTCTATGGCGAATCACGCAGGCACTGGGCTACTCCGCAGCAGTACCTACCCGAACCAGTCTAAATAGTCCGAATGTAAACACTTATTATAGGTGTACCGTAGTGATTCAGGACAAGCCAAAAACACTGTTTGGAAAATAGATTCATGGTGTACTCGCTTATTATATACATTTTGTACATTTTAAACACAAAAAAGTTACGGACTGCAGCTTTAAATAATTTCAAATATCAGTATTCAAAGTTTTATGTTTAATATATCAAAACATTATTTATGCATTTGTAATCACAGGTTAAATGCATTCATGTCTTGTATTAAACAGTGTGTAAATGCATCTAAATGCCAGTTCAGATGAAGCGTCTGTGTTTTCTTTGCATTGTAAAGATGAATTGATACTGATTTTGTTTGCTTGGTAACAGCCCAAATATCTTATTATTCTAATTCATTGATTAAATGTAAGAATTTGACTCAAAAGATTATGGACACTTTTAGAGAAAATGGCTTTATAAAGGTGAAAATGCCCATAAAATGTAAATATCAGTTGAAACTTATTGGAAAAGATTAATTTCTATCAGTGTGAACTGACCACCAGATAGAATATGAAGAATATGAAAAACTTTACGAGTCAGATGTCTATGGCAGTCCTTAAGATACATGCACAATAACACACTCTGCAAAATATCGTCTAATTATCGTTATCGATAAAATCCTAGAAAATATAGAGATATAATTTTTTTGTCAATATCGCACACCCCTACTAGCCGGAGCTACTTCTCTCTGTTTATGTCTATGACGAATCACGCAGGTACTGGGCTACTCCACAGCGGTACCTACCCGAACCAGTCTGAAATAGTCAGAATATGAACACTTATTATAGGTTTACCGTAGTGATTCAGAACAAGCCAAAAACACAGTTTGGAAAATGGATTCATGGTGTACTCACTCGTTATATAAATTTAGTACATTTTGAACACAAAAAAGTTACATACTGCAGCTTTAAATAAAGGTTAAATAGAATTAACAAATCACAAATTCTAGTCTTTATTTCATTTTACAAAATGTCCCTACTTTTTTGGAAATGGGGTTGTGCATTACTGTTACACCGCATGACATTTTAGAGTCCTTAAATTAAAACTTTTATTGAAATTAGTTGATGGTTTTCAGAAGCCATCATGAATACAGAGAGCACATTTCTAAGTACTAGCCTTGTGTTCTTTATTTGTGGGAACTTTTATATTTCATTGACCCAGTAATTTAAACAGTTCTCGCAGTCTTCCTACATCCAGCTCTCGAATACATGATGTTACGATGGAAAATATAACCACTTTCCTTGTTCTTAGTTCATCAGTGTCAAAAAGATCCAGTTGTCACAATTCCTGACCTTTAGATTAAACTATGTCCCTGTGTTGGCCTTCAGTAAAGTGATTCTTAAAAATGATATTTTAAAACTGTTCTCGAAATATCCACAAAGCATAAAGCCATCTACACTCTTAAAAATAAAGGTGCTTCACGATGCCATAGAAGAACCTTTTTGTCTAAATGGTTCCATAAAGAACCTTTAACATCTGAAGAACCTTTCTGTTTCACAAAAGATTCTTTGTGGCGAAAGAAGGTTCTAAGAAAGAGATGGTTCTTTAAAGAAGCTTTGACTGAATGGTTCTTTGTGGAACCAAAAATGGTTCTTCTATGGCATCGCTTGAAGAACCTTTTGAAGCACCTTTATTTTTAAGAGTGTAGTATAGCGTTTGTTTAGATGCATCCTTTTTCTCCGAGATTTCGAGACACAATGACCCACCTATCAGGAGACTCTACATTTTAAAGGTTGCATTAAAGGGCAGAGCGTACTGTTACTGGCCGGTCTTTGTCTGTTTGGGGGACATGGGGGTTGGTATTGACAGATCCTCTAACTGATGTCTCCAAATCCTCTATGAATAATTCATTTTGTGTGCAAGGGACAAGATCCCTCGGCTGAGCTTTCATCTCCAAGACTCCAGAGTGACCTATGTCACACTCCTGCAGAGTTCATTTCTCCTCTGCTCTCAAAGTCAGCAGTGTCACCTCCACACTAAAATGTTCAGATATGACTCATCTGAAATA